GTGAGTGGCTCGCACCTTTTCAGTTGCTTTATCTGCCTGTTTGGTAACGGGATTTTTTTTTGGAGATTAGTGGTGAATGGAGGAGGGATTCTTCAGCAAAAATTGTGGATCATGTGCTGCTCACTTGCCTTCCAAAAGAATTTGGTATATTCGGTGGAAATGGTGGGATTGAAAGAGATTGGGAGAAGAGAGGCGTGAATGGAGATGAATGATTGGAGATAGGTGTGAATTAAGGTAGGGTTTGAGTTATTTTTTATTTCTATCATTTGAGCCCATATAATTTAATTTGGAAAAAAAAAAAATACAAATTTTTTTGCAACGTTAGTTATTTTTTATTTCTATCATTTGAGCCCATATAATTTAATTTGGAAAAAAAAATACAAATTTTTTTGCAACGTTCAAAAAACGTTGCAAAAAATAATCTTTTCGCAACAGTCAATAAATGTTGCAAAAGACTTTATATTGAGAGTTTCAACAATAGGCTCTGAACGTTGCTATAGTACCAGATTTCAACAATGTTCACAAAACGTTGCAAAAACTTAAATTTTTCGCAATATTTATAAAACGTTGCAAAATGCGACATTAACAACATTTATTTGATAAATGTTGCGAAAAGCTCAATTATGTTAGCCAATAGCAACATTTACCTGATAAAATATTGTGATAGACCCTTTAACAATATTTAATCGACGAATGTTGCATTTGTATGTTGCAAAAGACCATATTTTGTGTAGTGAATGGATTTTGGGTTTCAATTTCAAAATTCGAAAAATAGTATTTTGAGGGATAAAATTACAAATTCGGACTCTTTAAAACAACCTAATCTACAATTTATGTTATTATTTCAGGGTATATTTCAAATTTTTGTTTGTATAAGTATTTCCTATTTTTTTATTCGAGATAGGTACATATAAATTTTTTCCCATTTTTCTTCGTAGTGGACAATTAACAAAATAGACNAAAAAAAAAAAATTTAAAAATATACAATACATATTCTTTTTTTCGAAATACTATTTGAAAACATTGATGTGGTTTTTCTATTTGCGTTGCTCGACCCTTGTGTTCGATCAGCTGACCAAACAGCAGAGTTCCTCTTCGAGTAATTGGTTTATAATTGTGTTATAGTTTGCTTGAGCAGTTCAGCTTATTGTTGTTTATTAGCTTAAGGAATGAAAAAAGAGTAAACTGTTTTGTATTAGCTTGCAAGCTGGGCAAAAATGGTTTCTGATTTGGTTCTCTCAGAATTTTGTAGCACCACAAC